TCAAAAATTATGGATATCTTTAAGTGGTTTTCCAGCACAGATGGTGGCAGTAAACAAAGGTTTAAAAAAAATACACTTTATATGGTATATCAAATAATTGTATTCTATAAAAACACAGGGTTTCATTTGATTGACATTATTCCTTTCACTTTATTAATAAGAGCATAACACTTTAGCAATGCATCAAAAAGAAGTTTGAAACGTTGCAAATGGTGATCTATATTTAAGAAAACAGATTGTTTACTGCAAATGTAACTCAACAAAGACTATTTGCGGGAACACCTTTTTTTATGTCAGTTTCTATTTGCAGGCAGCTCTACTTACAGCCATGTATTATATACATATATAATCTCGCTTGCTGGTAAATCAGATAATCCCTGCTGTTGCTTACCTATATTATCTCCCCTCAAGGCAGCAGATCCGACACAGAACAACATTCAAACCTGGGTTTTATTTTTCTTTGAAAGTCTCTCTTGATGCAACTTAGACCAAGTCCCAGTCTGTTATTCAAAATCACATTCTCCCAGTGACTCCACCTTCCCTATACTGGTGCCAATAGCCGCTCTCTGTGTCTTGGCTTTCAGTCGGTGTGGCTCCACCCTTCCTCTGTCTGAGTAGAGGAGGGACATAGGGACAAGGTGACCAGAGGAGCAGAGAACATGAAGTGCTCTCAGTCTTCCCAGTGATTGAACTGAGTGAATACAGTCGTATAATGAAAACATGAACACATCAGGAGGCTGATGAAGATGAAAAAAAGACATTAATGAAGCAAGTTACACTCTGGTCTTTATTGTTTAGAGACTGATAGAGGAGTGTGGATGGGAGCAATTTGATTCATGCAGAAAATAACAGCAGATAGTAAACCACAGCAGGAACATTTTCATTTACTACTTACTTAAAAAAATATATAATCAAAGCTAAAAAATAAAACTGTCAGATTGAAAGTACCTTGTGCACATCACAACATTTAAATAGGTAACAAACATACTTACCAATTGAATCACATAAAATTATGCTTAACTGGACTGATGTAATATTCTAATAATTTTGTTGAATATTTAATATAAAGACTATTTCTGTAAAGTGCCTTGAGATGAATTGTGTTCAATTAATTAAATTCAGTTTATTTATATAATGCCAATTCACAACATGTCATCTCAAGGCACATTACAGTTCACCAGATCATACAGTCAAATCGATTCAAAGTTTTCTATCTAAGGAAAACCAGTTAATTGCATCGATTCATTGACTCAAATACAATCCCTCACACTAAGCATGCTTGTAGCGACAGCGGGGAGGAAAAACTCCCTTTTAACAGGAAGAAACCTCCAGCAGAACCAGGCTCAGTGTGAGGTGTTGTTAATAAGCGCTATATAAATAAACTGAATTGAATTAAAACCGAATTGAATTGAATTATTTTCCACACACAACCTTGGATTCAGCCTCACAATCATAAATTAAAGTTAATAATTTTTTTCATAAACATTTAAAAAAAACAAAAAAGATATATTTTTTTTTCTATAAATTCCTTTAACACTGTTATATTTATAGCTTAACTTTCTTTCTTTACCATGTTGGCTCTCAACGCAACAATGTAGGCAACAGCAAACCGAAAACTAAGATTCACTTTCCAAATTTATCTTCATATACAGCAGGTGCCCATTACACATTATTACACATGACTTAATTTCTGGACGTCTATGGTTTGGTTTCTTTGTATGTGTGGATTGCCTTGATTGTTACTGATATCTTTTGAAAATGTGATGCCAATAGCGCCTCTAGAAGTATATTTACTGAGAAAAATGGTGGCGTGTCCATTACTTATTTCACCCGCTGTACTGCCAAAATAGATTCATAATCAGAATAAAGACTCTTATAGCTTCCTGTAGCCGCTAGCTAAGCT